AGATCGGCAGTATTATGTAGATTTTACGTCGTAATCCGATACTCTTGCGCTCGGTCGGGACGGTCTCCGCCGGTGCGATCTCTCTCAATTGTCAGCATATAATCCGCTCGACACAACTGGTGTTTACTTTATGTTACCTCAATCCTTCGTCTCAACCACTTTAGTATCTTTAAATATATTCTTATTATCTGTTTTATTATTGAGAACTTTATTTCAGCTATCTGTTACTCTTGATTCTCGATCTATCTCCTGTTCCTACGAATTGTCGGTTCCGCTATTTGTTCGAGTACAAAATCCTTTTATGTGATGCGGCCTACCGTACCTGGCGCCCAATTCTTTCTTTCGATAACTTAGATTTTTGAAGCCACGGAATTGATAATTAGGAAGTCGCGCCGATCGACTTTGAAATCAGTAAAAATAATAACACAATGTATAAGTATAATATATATATATATATATATATATATATATATATGCCATATAACATAGATGTAACATCCTCCCCGTAGGGAGGGGGGCGGAACCCACTGCGTTCACGCATATACTTTCCCATTCACACAACAATCGTGAGGTGAACCTCGCTTCGCGTTGTAAAGTATATGCGTGGACACAGTGAGTTCCGCCTCCCCTATGGGGGGGCTCCACTTCCGGAAGATATAATCTAACCCAAACCTATTTCTGATTTAAAACTAAATTTTGGTGTGGGTTACGTTGTATAACTTAAATTAAATTTTCAGAAATAGGTTTGGGTTAGGTTATATCCTCCGGAAGTGGAGCCCCCCGTAGAGGGGGGGGGAGCGGAACTCACTGTGTTCAGGCATACACTTTCCCATCCACACAACAATGCTGGACTGAACCTCGCTTCGCATTGTAAAGTATATGCGTGGACACAATGGGTTCCGCCCCCCCCCCCTACGAAGGGGCTCCACTTCCGAAAAATATAACCTAACCCAAATCAATTTCTGCTTTAAAACTAAAATTTTATTCAAGTTACGTTATATAACTCAAACCAAATTTTCGTTTCGAATCTAACTTTAACTTTAAAAATTATAAGAGACCGCCCACACAGAAAAATGATATGTATTAGATATCTGCTAGATATCTTCAATGTCTACCAGGGATATCCACAGGATATACAGAAACAGCTATTAGACATGCTACGGATATCCAAATGTCCGCCATTCGAGATCTCATAAATATCTATAGGATATCTACATAAATATCCACTAGGTATCTATACAATATCCAGTGAATATCTACAAAAACATCCACTAGGTATCCATACAATATCCAATGAATATCTACATAAATATCCACTAGGTATCTATACAATATCCAGTGAATATCTACAAAAACATCCACTAGGTATCCATACAATATCCAATGAATATCTACATAAATATCCACTAGGTATCTATACAATATCCAGTGAATATTTGGTTTGGATAGTAAATAATTACCCAAGTAGCAAATTACTCACACCAAATTTGGTAATTATTTACATTAAAAATTTGGTTTGGGTTAGGTTATATTTTCCGAAAATGGAGCCCCCCCGTAGGGGGGTGGGGGCGGAACCCACTGTGTCCACATATACATTTTCCCATCCACACAACAATTGTGAAATGGATCTCGCTTCGTATTATAAAGTATATGCGTGGACACAGTGGGTTCCGCCCCCCCCCCTACGGGGGGGCTCCACTTCCGGAAGATATAACCTAACCCAAACCTATTTCTGATTCAAAACTAAAATTTGCTTCTGCTTATGCTTATATTAATATTTCATAACTTTTATTTGTAGAACAATTTTTTAATAAACAATGAGCGGCAACAAAAATCTTTTATGTTACACAAGGTGATAACCTTGACAACATATGTCAAGATCAAAGTCATCTAAGCTGCCTCCCCTATATTGCATATAAGCAATATACTAATTACTTCCTTTAGCACTGACACAAAGTAGCAAATTTCTCAAACTTTTTTTGTTAATAACTTTTTAATAAACAGTGACCGCCGATTAAGTTATAAGGGAAAGTTAGGGTCATGTCCTTGACAACATATGTCAAGGTCAAGGTCATCGGCGAGGTGTCCGTTAATGTAAATAATTACCTTGAAATGTTCTAAGGAATCTGCCATTAAGAGGAAATACAGTAGTTTTAGGACACCCTGCATAATTAAGATACAAGACAGATTAGTCAAAAAATTTATAGCATAGCACAAGCGTATAGTAATATATTTTAATTTTAATTATAGTAATTTTCTTTTAAAAAGAATGTACAAATAGATATCGTATCAATCAAAGAAATAAAAGAGTTGCTTTCTATAATTCAAAAATATAATAGATATATTCATTTTATCTGACTGCTCGTAAGCATGTGTATAGTAGCAAAACATGTATAGGGGAAAGTTGGGTAAAACCGAGTAGGCGGGTCAAACCGGGTACCCCTGTTTTTTCGTAATAAATGTTGCTATTTATGGCTAATTTGTGTTATTAGTTGTAGATTGACGCCATTATTATTTTAAGACAAACCGTACCCCTATATACACGATATTTCTTTTTTAATAGAAGTTCAAAGTTTTTAGCCCCAAAAAGATCGATATCGAAGCAAGAATCGAGTCGTCGTGCACTTTTTCTATATAGAGCATCTGTTTCGGTAAGTGTATCATTGCATTCTGTACATATTAGAAAGTATATCATATCAGTTTTGATCGGCACTTTGTACGCCGGAATATACAATCGCCGTATTTGTTACTTTCCTTGTGTTGGGCCTAAACCGGGTACTTACACGTCTCATATAATGAAAAGAACTGTTATCCTGACTTTGTGTCTCTACAAAAAGCAGTTGGAAACGAAAACTAACATTCACAAAAAGAAACCACTCAAGTTAAAATAAATCTAGATTTTGAAATTACACGGTGTTTTGCATATTTTTAAATGGGTACCCAGTTTGACCCTACCGGTAGGACAAAACCGGGTACTTTGACTTCTCCACAAAATCTTATTATTTTTGGTAACCAAAAATTTTTTTCCAGCAACTAGCTAAAAGTGAAAAAAGGCGCCAAGTGCACACGCACAAGCGCTTCTTGCTAAAAAAAAACTCTTATACAAAATAGTGTTATTTCAATTTGTTGCGAAAAATTTTTATACAGAATAGTGTTATTTTAATATAAAAATACTGTCATATTCAAACTAAAAAACTATTTTACGAAATAGTTGCTTTAATTTTCTACAAAAATAGTGATATATATGATAAAAATAGTGATATATATGATAAAAATATTGCGCCAACTAATAAAAATTTGTTACAAAATTTATTTATTATTATTTCTAATATTAAAAATTGTATCTCATAAATTACAATGTGATTAAAATAGTGGAACATATTTAAGCGAAAAAAATTTTTTATTAAGAAAACAAATTTCAGTATAAAATAACTTTTTAATTAGAGAAAAACTTGGCGCTGCAAAAATTCAAAATGTAAATAATACGTTAATTAGCATATGTTCAGTTTAGCAGCGCCAACTTTTTCTGTAATTAAAAAGTTATTTTATACTGAAATTCGTTTTCTTAATAAAAAATTTTTTTCGCTTAAATATGTTCCTACTATTCTAATCACATTGCAATTTGATACAATTTTTAATATTAGAAATAATAATAAATAAATGTTGTAACATAAATTTTTATTAGTTGGCGCAACATTTTTATCATATATCTCACTATTTTTGTAGAAAATTAAAACAACTATTTTGTAAAACAGTTTTTTAGTTTGAATATGACAGTGTTTTTGTATTACTTAAATTAATTTTTTTAATAAAGAATTTTTTTCACTTAAATATATTCCACTATTTTAATCACATTGCAATTTATGAGATACAATTTTTAATATTAGAAATAATAAATAAATTTAATAATAAATGAATTTTGTAACATAAATTTTTATTAGTTGGCGCAATATTTTTATGATATATCTCACTATTTTTGTAAAAAATTAAAACAACTATTTTGTAAAATAGTTTTTTAGTTTGAATATGATATACTATTCGTTGCATCTCTAATACACATACATCGAGTCATCTTCGTTAAGCGTCGTCTACTAAATTTCTCTCTATTAAGCGTTATTATAATGCTTCTATTTTCGTTAAACATTTTTTACACACATTGCAAATCTTGCATCTATTACCTGCTTTAATAAAAGACAATGGTTCGATATGTTTATATTCTAAACTTTACATCATCTTTTTCATAATTTTACACTTATTTCAAACATCAAATTTTTTATTTACTAGATTTTTTATTAGATTTTATAAAAACTTATAAAAGATAGATAAAAGTAGAAATAAGGGCCGTGCCACATAGAAAAACGTAAGCAATAAGACTTAAGACGTAAGGAAAGTAACCAATTACAATCGAGATCGTAAGCAGCCATATTGAAATGTAAACAATGCTGAAAATTCCGGATGCATGAAATATTTGCTCATATTTATATCTTAGTTTTTCTATGCATTAGTATTTTAAACTTTATACTATATAAATCGTACTTTATATACAATAAGTTAATAATTTTAAAATAAATTTATCTTGTTTTTCTTGTGCTCTTTTATTTTGGCCTGTGTATTCCACATTTGGCGTTAATTATACATGAATTAAATCGAAGAAGGGCGTAGAAAGGGTTGCAATTTTTGCAACAAAATGAATAAAGCTTATATTATGCATTAAATGTTTTTTTGATAATTTTAATTAGGATTGAAAAAGTGCTGCGCTTTTCAAGGCAGTACAATGCATAGTAAATCGGAGAAAGTCAGTCGGCTGACCTGAATTTTTATTCGAGGTCATTACAGGCAAGTTCTACTACTACACAACGGACTCTCTTTTACTCACTAGTTGGCCGTCAGAAAGTTGATATCTTAATTCGTCGGTGGGCAAAAAACGTTATCACAATTAATGAAAATTGTATTGATATTTTCAATCCGTATAATCGAGTATCAATATTATTATTGTTTATAGATTTCGTAAGAGAAGGTAGTGTTTTTTTAATTAATAGTTAGTCAATACATATGTATATTGATTGACTGCAGAAAACTTGTGTGCACTGGCTTATCTTGTCGCCAGTGATTTCATAACATGCGTAAATTATGAAAACATTAATAGTAATTGAGAAACAATGAGAAGCGATAATCAATGTGAAAGAACACATATCTCGCTGAAAAAGTGGAAAGCAAAAACAAGGAAGCTCGTGATCGTGTCTTCTCGCGAGTTGACATATTTAATTCGGAGATTCTTGATAATCGTGCATGCCAAATAATTATCAAGTTTTTCATCGATTTATCATTAATTGCGATTGTATGAAACATTATAGCTAATTACATATAACCTTAAAGAATTGGATCAAGAATTGAAAGAAATAGAAGACGAAGATGTCTCAGAAGATTCCAGAATATGAGCTTTTGCCTGAGATGAAGACGAAAGAAATGTTGAAGATGTTCAAAGGCGAGAGGACTGGCTGGGTCTTAGTAGGCCCAAAACAATATTTTTTCCCAATGAGATTCATACAGCAGGGCATTGGTTTCTACAACTTCAAAACCAGGCCGGATGATACCTGGGTTGCTTCATATCCGAGATCAGGTATATGTATATACATATATATATACTTGATCGGTATATATATATATATATA